AGACTGGAGTATGGTTTTTGAGGTATTGCTTCTTGTTTTTTGAGAAGTTCCAAAAATTGTTAATCTTTCACCAGAAAAGTTGCTCACTTTTGATTTGTAATGGGTTTTTGTTTTGGGTGTTTGTTCTGTATCCAATTTAGGGGTTTGTTCTAATTGCAGGTATTTAGGACTTTGAGTTGGATGCTTGCACCTATTGGCATATCTTTGCTTCTTGGAACAGATTCAAACGCAGGTTTAATGGCATTAGCAATTCCTTTAGTGCAGTCTGTGTTGTCCCTTGTGTTTGATAAGGTCTTGAGCAGGCCAAGTATTAGACCTGTAAAGAGAAGCAGAAGAGAAACATTTTCAAGAACAAGGAAAGCTAGGCAAGGAGAAAACATGGGTGGTGTTGTGGATAAGGAGGGAGGATACAAGTCATGGATGGTAGGAGATGCTGATTCTAATAGCATGGGTAGTAGGTATGGAGGATGGGATGATCTAGTCACGCAAAGGGAGATTAGAAACGACTATCCGTTAAACGAGGATGTTCGTTTAGAGCAACAGTTTAAAAGAAAAGCTAGTCGGCCGTGGAGAGTTAAGGAGAAGCCATTGCTCTTGAGGTTGCTAATTGCTGCCTTCCCATTTTTGGGTTCATGGACTAAATTGTTGTTTTGACGAGGGATTCATTTAAAACCCTTTATAGCTTGGAGAAGTACTATTTCTTTCATGCTGGTCGAAACAAGACGTGTTTCTCTCGCGATTGGTCTGCAGATAAAATCAGTCTTCCTGGAATCCTAAAGGTTAGCTTTCAGCTATCTTGGAACTTAGTATACACATCTTACTTGTGATAACAATGCATATTCTGTAAGTTGAGAATATATGCCTGTCAGAGATTTGTGTTTGTATAAATATAAAGGTGTGATGGTTCTTGTTTATACAGCCTAAAGTATTATCTTAATACTTTAAATCAGCAACAATAATTGGTGAATGATAGTACCAGATGCTTCTGCTACTCTATAGCATGGGCAATTAGGGAGTGCATCTCTTCTACTTTATCTAGTCAGGGAGCAATACTACTAGAATATATGCTTTCACATTTATTTGTTTCACATGTTATATACTTATATTATAACATTCATAGGGTTTGTTAGATGTTTTGCTAAGTGATAGTAACCAGTGGCTTCATGATAAGAATCTTTGATAAAGACCCTTTTAAGAATAAAGAACAATATCGGTTTATTGGGAATCCTTCAGTTAGCTAGTTTCTTTAGCACGAAACAGGAATTCTTTATTTGTTATGAAAAAAAGATACAATAAACTGTTAACCCATGATATTTCACTAACCTTCATTGAATTATGCAGATTGTAGTCGAAAATGAGTAAACGTTTTGGTTACTTCAAACTAAGTTTCAGAAGCTTAGGAGTATATGTACCTTACCTTAGTCTCTTTGAACTAGCTAGAGAGCTTTTACTCTGAGAATGTAGTACTGATGGTGTGCCTATAAAGCGCGTGATTTGCTTTTCTTGGTGGGGATTCTTGGCAATCTTGTATACTGTTGTCTGGATAAATATGAGTGTCAAACTGAAACGTATATAGGCATATGCCAATTCTTTGTTATATGACAACAAAGAAGTTACATCTGAAAACATAATCTAGGAGGGGGGCTTTGTACGTATCCTAAGCAATGTCTTTTTGGTTTCTTTTCTATACGTTATTGTCTGAATATAGAGTCTTATATGCTTCATGGTGATAAAGACTAACCCAAAACTAGATCGTAAGTAGGAAAAATCATTCATTATGGAGAAGTAGGAGGATCGAACTTGTAGTGCTTGTCGACGAAAAGTGATACATCCCAAGTGCAGCTAAGTCCCTTGGGGATGGTCACAAGGTCTCCTGCCCCAAACTCTACAAACTCTGATGACCCTTTTGGATAAACCTTCACCTTTCCCTTCACCAAATAGCATGTCTCTCTTTCTTCAAATACCAATGCATATTTCCCCGGCTGACATGACCATCTGTTTATCAGAGAGATTCATCATGTTAACACCAAATAGAATGAGGAATTGAAAAAAATGAAAGTCTATGTGGTTAGTATAGGTGGGAACAGAGCATATGCATGTTTGATACTTACTTAGGCCATGACATGACTCCAAGGTCAGATAACCTTATGCTCGAAGGGTTGTGTTCGATTACGATATTCATTTTGGAAAAGGAATAAGGAGAGAGAATTCGATGATGTCCCAATGCTGTT